AAAGTCAATATTGCTTTCTACCACTAGCTCTGTAGGCCTAGCAAAAATGGTGCTAAAAGACTGAAATTGCTTCTTATTTGGCAGCTTTATTTTGTACTTTCAGTTCCACCCTAAATGGTCCAGGAGTTACAGCATGGCACCTGTATAGGCTCCTAAAAGTAACTGCTGCACTATTTGAATAAGAAGCCAACCTTAGCTTTGTTGAATTTCTGAAGTCATCTTGTTTAATGTATGCATCCCATACACGCAGGCCTCCAACCACCAGACACTGTTTGAATTTGGAAAATATCACAACCATTCATGCTATCAGTACCAGCTGGTCCACAGCTTGTAAAGTGTTACCAAATAGTACATGTGTGACTTTGTGACTTATACATACAACTCAATAACTGAAAAACATTACTTTCATTGTACAAAACTATAGTTCTCATAGTGAATCTCAAGAAATATCTGTCCAATTGCTGTCCAATGTACAGATGATGTTGCTGTAGTAATAAGGGACGATAATCAGATAATTGAATCTGTTTAACTGCATAAAAAAGATCCTATTCACGCTTCACCCTGCGTTAAGCTGTACTCCTCCTAAAACTGAGTCATCATGAAGGCGAAAACAGCCCTTAGACAGTTTGTCTGTTGTGTGTAAAGTCTTTGGGGGTACTGAAATACTGGGCCGAGAAGACGGTTGGTCATCGCTTTCTCTCATTGTCACTGGCATCTACAGTGTGTTGCAACATGACAACACTAACTGTCTCACAAACACATCATTTTAAGTGTCCCAAGAAAAATCTGAAACTGTCCAGATGCTTCTGTTAAGAGCTTTATTTCATTTATTCCTGTCGTTATCTGAATAAAGACCAGTGAAGAGCTGTACTGTCTCAATAGTTACGGCTTATACTTCGGCCTTTTTTTAAATGCGTCCCCAAGTTTAATGATTCTAGATCAGCTCCATGTGTGTGATTAAAAAGCAAACCAACTGCAGCCAGAGTCTCTATAGATTCTGAAGTTACACTCCACTGTCAACCATGCCAGAGAATAGCAGGAGGCTAAAATGCACTGCTAGTCTAAACAATGTGTCTTTGATCTCTGGTTATTTTATGCTGGAAGCCAAAGCCCAAGTGCGAAGGTATGCGTGGCGAGTTGTACTGGATCAAACAATTCCTTTCACAATGCTGACAATAATCCAGAACTTGAAAGCATTAAGGCTGTTTGCACTTCATATCATGAACCCCATTGTCACCGTGGAGAGGAGTTCGTGCCAAATTGAAAAGCTACAAAGTCACTACAGTGGAAAAACGTGAAAAGCAATGCACACATGACATTACTTTTCCATAGTGGCACGCAGAATACAGTGTTTGAGGATTTGCATTTAAAAAAAAATGAAAAGCTAAGTTGGTGTCAGAATTGAATACAATCCACCTTGAAATGTAATGAAGATATGACTGTATTTCTTCCCACTATGCAGTATTTTAAATGGATTTTCCTCATTGAAGTGCAATCATAACACTGAAAACAATGAAATGCAATGTATTTCGCTGCTGTCAGAAGAAAACCTTGTATCTCCAAAATGGTAACTTTACAGGAGAAGGAAAAAACATACTCTACTTTTAATGTAAGTCAGTGGAACCAGACTTTTTTCCAAGTCATTTTGAGCCGTTTCTATTTGTCAATTCATCATTAAATTTACATACAATGTAAAGAACAACAGGCATTTTCAAATTGTCCAAAACTAAAAAACGACAAAAAATGTAGATACAAGGTTTTCTTCCGACAGCAGCGATATATGACATTACTTTTCATAGGTGACATGCAGAATATGTGCCAAAATGAAAAGCAAAACCTCTACTACACTGTTTTTACCTCTTTTTTTGTACTTCAAATGTATTTGCCTCATTGAAATGCAATGCACACGTGAGACTGCATTTAAACAGTAACATGCAGAAAATACAATGAAAAGTAAAAGATCCATTACATTGATTTAACCTTGTTTGAAAGGGCTGCATGGTGGAAAGCAATATATTTCAAGGCAAATCGTATTGAATTCTGAAATTCATAATTTCATTTTTAAATGTAAATCCTCATACATTGTTTTTCAGTAAAGAGGTCAAGCGATGTGAAAGCAATGTAATAGAGGTTTTGCTCTTCATTGTGGCACATATTCTGCATGTCGTTATGGAAAAGTAATGTGACGTGTGCGCTGTATTTTATGTTTTTCCATTGTAGTGATTTCTTTTCAATTCTGCACAAGCTCCTCTTCATACGTCACCACTGGTTGTGTACATAATACCACAGGACTTGCTTTCAGTTTACCGAATGTTAAATGTACTTTTTGCTATATTATAAAGAATTTCTGCAATTTCTATGATAATGTACTACATTGAAGCCTGTATACTATACTATAAATGTGTTTACAAACTTTTTACAGTATCCTGTGTTACATTCCAGGAATACTTTTACAGTACAGACAGATTATACTGTATTACACACTTTATCGTATGGTGATATTATTGGAACAGCATTGTAAAAATACATCAAAACAGACAGTATTATCAGCTTTTCTATCTCAGTTTTTAATGAAGAACCGTTCAATTCATAAGTCTCCTTTTTTCTTTGTTAGTATCTGATTACCACTGCTTTGAAAATGCTTATTTCAGCTAGCTATGGGATTCAGTCTTTCTGTCATTGAGGCTGAATCTCAAGTGGCTCCCTACTCTATATGTAGTGCACTATGTAGGTTATGAAATAACAGCTTCTACAGACACGAAGAAATGGACGATCGAACAATGTTTGTATACATATAAATGAATAAACAGGCGACAGGCAGCTACAGACAGGTGGTCTAGCTCATTAGCTTTTGGTTATGGTGGCTTGCTGTGTTTCTCTGACTCTGAAACTGTTTTACGTAGGCGGGGCAAGAGATGTCAGCCTTGTGACCAATAAAGGAAACGCAGACGGAAGCATTACCCAAGATTAGGACCACCCAGTTAGTGGTGGAAATATATCAGTCATTTAGCTTGTAAGACATGCATGTACCATATTTTTACTTTATATATTGCAGGTTTCAGCGAATCCTTTAGGGAATACTTCTATTTAACCTACCTGTGAATAAAATATTGGAGCCTATTAGCCTGTTAGCTTTGGAAATAATAGCTGTCTTTATTTTTGAAAAACTAAAATAAAACAACAGATTTTTTTTCTGGGTTTTTTGACTCTTTAAAATGTATTTAGACTCAACTTTACTGTCATTTTGAAACAGCAGTTTTAACCCATTTCATTGTGTGTGCATATCTGTAAAATTCAGGAAAGAAAATATTCTTGATTAATTTACTGCTGTCAATATGTATTAATATGTTGTAAAAATACAGTTTAGTACTGCATTTGAAATGTGTAATTATGATAAACAAGCATTACAGTGCTGTACATTTTAGTTACAGATTTGCCAGTTATTTACTGTAAATTTGCAGAGTAATTTTTTTACAGTGTGTAGTTTACTGGGCACAACCTTGTAAATCGCTTATCTGACACCTTCTGTATCAAAAGCCAGTTGTAGGGATTCCTGAGGAGTATAGACTCTGGCACTGAAACTGGTTCGACTTCAGGACATCCTAAACTCAAAGCAACATTGTTCATCAGAGAGTCTCATAAATTGAGTGAAGTGTGATTACCAGCCAATAAATCCAGCTTTGTAAACTCTGATACTTTTTCCAAACATTGTTCAGTTGGCTAATACATCTTTTCCCAAAACAGTTTATTTCACAGTAAAACTGTGGTGTGTGACAGCAAAGCCACACACCACATAATAATACAAGCCCACTCCTGTTTGACTGAAGAGGTGGGCTTATAACAATAAAGTTGAGATAAACAGTTGAGGTCTATTTCCTGGCCATTTTCACACACACCATACAGCAGAGTCCCTCCAGACCACATGTGGAAATGTTTCTTTCCGTTTTACTGTGGAAATAGACTCAGAAATGCAACCATATTGTGACATTTTGCTAAAAGAGCTCATTTAATGCCTTTTTTTACCTGCAGACTGCGAAATGTCAATAGTCACTGCTTTGCCCGAATAGTGTTAAAACTATTTTGTCTCAGAGGATCTTAACTGGCTACAAAGAAGTTGTTGGTGGGATTCTATTGAAATTATGCATGTTTAAAAACAATGCATGAAAATAAGAGTTGATATGAAGTGAGATACTGTTCAAAATCCATCAGATGTGATAGTTGTGGAGCAGCCATTGGGGTTTCAGTTCAGCTGTGCTAGCTGTCCCTTCATACAATGTTTTTGGAAGTTGCCAAGAAATAGGCCCAACAGGAAAACCCAAATGTGATTTTGCGATACTGTTGTCCTCAGTTTTCCTGCACTTATTGGGTACATTCACAGTGAACACTCAAGCAGTCAGCAGCCAAAAGTTTATGGAGCACTTGAGGAGTTCTGGCAATGGCTCAGAGTCGGTAGAACTTGTTTTGACTGGTTTTGGTCTTTTGTTCTGATTATCTCATGTAGATTTGGCAGAAAGGTCAACAGGTTTTTTTTTGTTTTTTTTTGTAAGGTAATGGGAAAATATTAAAATGTCATCCAGATTTATTGGGCCCATTGATATAAAAGATAACAAATAATAATAAATGTACAGGGTACAGCAGTGGCAGAACACAATAACTAAACATAATAACTAAACTAATAAATAGGGTCGTTTCTGTGTGGAGTTTGCCTGTTCTCCCCATGTCTGCGTGGGTTTCCTCCGGGTACTCCGGTTTCCTCCCACAGTTCAAAAACATGCAGTCAGGCTGATTGGACATGCTGAATTGCCCCTAGGCAAGAGTGTGTGTGATTGTGTATGTCTGTCTGTCTGCCCTGCGATGGACTGGCGACCTGTCCAGGGTGTATCCTGCCTTCCGCCCAAAGACAGCTGGGATAGGCTCCAGCGCCCCACTGCGACCCAGAAGGATAAGCGGTTTAGATGATGGATGGATGGATAGATGGATGGAAATAAAAACAGGATGAATGGTGGTACAACCTTTAATTTGATAGACATTTTGTTACTATCTGCTGAAGATAATTGTGGAATATATGGCACAACAATAAAACTGTAAAGCTGCGGTGAATATTATATTTCTTTTTTTAATCCTGATATTAATTTCAAAGATTTTAGGTGACAAAAGATGTGAAAATGATGCACAAACTGTTAGTAAAGGTCAAATTGCATCATATCAAATGACACAGATTAAAAAATAAACTAATTATTTTTTAACAGAATGAAATGCGGTTCTGTCCTGCTGTAGGATTGTGCTTAAATGGAGTGTAGAACATTACTGGTAGTACCATATTCACTCATTTTTCACTTTTCTTTTACCACACGCTCGACGACAGACACATCTGATGAATACTACTGTGGTGAATGTCAGCACTGCTGCTATACTAAGCAGAAACAGAATCACGTCCACTGAATGGTAGGAGTACCAAGGCATCCTATAGGCCTTTGTGCGCAGGTGAGGGGCTCCTTTATTCCTCATAACATACTCAATCCAGAAGACAGCTGAGTCTAGAGGTTTCATAGGCTGGTCTCTGTGTAGACTGGAGAGTCGCTGCATGTTGGTCCTATAAGAGTCATTATTGAGAACTTCCAGTAGCATCTGTTCAAAAGTTTGGCCATTCAGTTGAGACAACTCGAGAATTTTTGCTGCTCCTCTTGTTTGAATCCGGACAAGGTTATCAAACTGATCAAAGACCAATGGGATGCCAAGCACAGGCACTCCGTGGTAGATGGCCTCCTGGACTCCATTGGTTCCTCCATGGGCTACAAATGCCTTGATCTTGGAGTGTCCCAGGAGGTCGTTCTGTGGCATCCAGTTCACCAGCAGAGTGTTGTTTCCCAGAGTGGAAGGTTTTGGTCCCAGATGCCTCCAGATGACTTTCTGAGGTAGTTTTGCAAACACGGCAGCAATTTCATCTACTTTGTCCGCTGGAAGACTGTCTACCATTGTTCCTAAAGACATGATGATGAAGCCATGTTCTCCTGAACTCTGCACAAAAGCCTTCAAGTCTTCAGGGAGGGGCTTTGCGGGCTTGCACTGGAATCCACCCATATAAACAACATTCGGCATGGTGGGTCTGGGGAATTCAAACACAAAATCGAGCCTCATGAGCCAAATATCAGCCTCCTGGAGGAAGCTGACAATGTCACAGTCCTCGTCAAAGTATTTATCACATAGAGCTTTGTAATGTGGCCCCACCATAACTTTATCTTGGAAAAGAGTCATTGCATAGAAAAGGCTGTTCTTAACTCTTTGAAAGAAAGTCATTTGGTCTGAGAAGCCAGTATCTAGAATAGGTATGTAGGACAGTGGCGAAGGTGCAATGGCAAAATGACCCTCACCACTGGTGATCCAGCGTGCATTTAAAACAAGGGGTAATTTCAAATAACGTCCTAAAACAACTCCAGCTGTGATGGCTGGATCAGTCAGAAAAAGATCATATTGTTCGTCTTGAAGCCTCTTAATCAGCTCTTTATCCTCAATGATTTTGCTCACCGTATTACATGCGATAAGGTGAACATAGGAGATCATGGAGAAGAAATTCCTCTGCATTTTCAAGATGGTCAGGACAGTCTTCTCACCTTTCTTAAGTTCCATCATTGCATTTAAATGCTCTGTAAAATATTCACCAATGTTTTCAATGCCATCATTCACTGTGATAGTAGTGAACAGCGAGGGGTCTTCTTCAACATACAAGCTGGAACTGGGTCGAATCACAGTGACGTTATGACCCCTGGAGTGCAGCGCCTCGATCAGCACCTTCATGTTGACCCAATGACTGCCATGCAAAGGATAAACCAGAACTTTGCCGCTCTCACAGCTCAGGATGAAGACAGACAAAAGGAGAAATAGTCCAACAATGGAGGATTGTCTCTTATGCAAAACAGAGTTCATTGTACCTGTAAAAGAAACACACAGGTTGGTAATAACATTTAAATTTACATTTACAGCAGTTAGCAGACACTCTCATCCAGAACGACTTACAATAAGTATTTATGAGTTTGACTATTCATGTGAAACATAAGGTAGATTATTTCATATACAACACTATGATGAGCACATGATAGAACTCTCTGAGATTGTCCAGGTATTTAATTTGATATTCATTAAAAACAACTCTTAGAATACAAAGCACATACTCTGCGATTCATACTCCTCCTCACTTCCGGTTGTTTCTTGTTCTTCTCCCAACACTATCACAAATTCTCGTAGGACACATCAAGCCTATCCTTACCTATACATTTTCGACATGTGCAAAATTAGAATGAACTACAATAGAAACAGGTAGTTATAATTACCTGGGGTGGTATGAAGTGCATGAAAGAATGTGAAATCGAAGTATGCAAGTCGGCTGTACGAGTAAGTTCAAAGTCCAAAATGTGCCTTACTGTTCTGTCTTTGATCAGAGATGAAATTAATAATTAACTAAAGCAAATACAAAGCATGGGACATGAATTTCATGGTTTGAAATGGTGTGCATGTACCCTATTCATTCATCCACCTTTTTATTTATATGCTCAACATCAGTAATGCACCTGATTTATCTAGGGCCAACTGAGATTGCTTCTCATTTCTTGAGGTGTTAAAACTCTAGTCTAGATTTTTGACTCTTAAAATGTATTTGGATTCATTCACCGTCATTTTGAAACTTCAGTTGTAACTTAATTAATATTGTTGATTACTGTAAAATGCTGCTGTCTTGTAAAAATATGTGTTAGGAAATCAAAACAGATCAGACTCTTGCAGACAAAAAGACAAGGTTGCAGTTTACTTAAGGGCTTTAGAGTATTACAAAGAGCATCGTCATAACAGGCCAGGGTCAAAACCAGAGAGTACAACATCAAAAACAAAAGGGACATTCAGAGAGGATCCAGTAACCGGTCCAGGTTTGAAAACCACAAAAAACAAGTCTTTCACAAATAAGGCTTACAGACAGAACGCTCAGTATGCAACATGAATGGTCGGCAATATTTCACAATGTGCTAAACTAATGCCGGGGCTTGTATAATAACTGACTACATTTAAAATGAAAGGTACGTAAACCCAGAACTCCAGTGAGGTGGAGCATTGAAATGAAAATCGATTGGCTGAAGGTGATCATTAAGGAGTCATATGATATGAAGGAACTTAATGTTGTGAAATGTGCTGTGTTATACATTCTGTATTGTGTGTGAATGCGCTGAAGTTGTATTTTAAGCTGCCTATTTGGGTTTACCCCTACATGGGTCATGTTTGTCACTGTTACTTGTCCTGTATAGGCTGGGTCTAATCTTGGCATCAGTCCAACTATAAAACTGTGTCAGTCCAACGTCTTACGGCCTGGCTGGGTGTCTGTACCTGTGCGCACAACAAATAAACTTCACTTCTTCAGACAACAGGCTGGTTCGCCTGATACAGTGGGGGCTTGGACTCTTCAGATCTCCCACTGATTCATGGGAACTGGAGTTTTCCAGACCACCCATTGACTCAAGTAAGCTGGCAAGAGAAAGGGAGGAGAGAAAGGGAGGTGTCCTCAGCAGGAGGCATGACAAAGTTTAGTACTGCATTTAAAATATGTATTTAATTACTGTAAATTTTCAGAGTAATTCTTTTATAGAGCACAGTTTACTGGGCACAACCTTGTAAATCACTTATCTGACACCCTCTTATCAAAAGCCAGTTGTGGGGATTCCTGAGGAGTATATATTCCAAAACTGGTTCAACTTCAGGAAATCCTGAATGGTCTCTTAAAATAAGCAAAGTGTGATTACCGGCCCACAAATGCAGCTTTGTAAACTCTGATGATACGTTTTTTCCCCACACATTGTTCAGTTGGCTAATACATCTTTTCCCAAAACAGTTTATTTTGCAGTCAAATTGCGGTGTGTGACAGCAAAGCCACACACCACATAATAATACAAGCCCACTCCTGTTTGACTGAAGCGGTGGGCTTATAATAAAGTTGAGATAAACAGTTCAGGCCTATTTCCTGGCCATTTTCACACATGACATGCATGAAGAGTCCCTCTAGACCACATGTGGACAAGTCTTTTTTCTATTCTGTGAGGAAATAGACTCAGAAATGCAAACATATTGCGATATTTTTCTAATAGAGCTCATTTCATGACTTTTCCTGCAGACTGTAAAATGTCAATAATCCTTGCTTTGTCTGAGTAGTGGTCAAACTATTTTTTTCAGAGGATCTTAACTAGCTTGTTGGTGGGATTCTATTGAAATTATGCAGGTTTTAAAACAATGCATAACAATAAGACTTACTATGAAGTGAGATACTGTTTAACACATTTGTTGCCATATGTAGGCTAAAGCAGAGAGCAGGTTTTACAGTCATCTGGCTGTGTGTTTGTGCTGTATTTCTGGGTTGTGTGATGTTAGAGCTGGTTTCTCTCACTCTGGCTAGTGATGGCAGGTCCCTCTGAGTGCTCTGTTGTGTGAATCATGTCACTATTTTTAACCCTTTGTTTATAATATCAAGGCTAAAAGTAGAGATGTAATGTAACAATAGCGAGTGGAGTCTGGGCAATTTTGCAGCTGGATTTCTGGCTGATGGTTGGTCACAGGTAGATGAAATCACTCTGGATGGCGAGGGCAGAGTCTGATGAGTGAACTGATGTGTGAATCATGTTGCTCTTTTAACCCTTTGTTGGAATATGAAGGGCAAAAAGCAGAGCAATACTGTCAGGATTTTAGGGGATTTTCCAAGCCAAATTACTCACTGATGCTGACGTCACAGCTCAATGACGTCATGCTTGCTAGTTAGGGGTGGGTTTGCTGAATGTCCTGATATGAGGATCATGTTTGTACCTTAAGCCGTTCTGACGTTATGAAGGCTAGAAGTGACCTACTGTTTTGTCCGCACATTGCTGGCTAAGGGTCCTAATGGATAAAATGAACTAAGACTAGTTGTGGAGCAGCCACTGGGCTTCCAGTGAGGCAGTTGTCAAGAAATTAATGAAGGAAATGGGTAAAAACGAAAAGGGGTACAAAATAAAAATCCTGTCCTGTGCTAGCTGTCCCTTCGTAGGATATGTCTGGAAGTTGCCAAGAAACAGGCCCAACAGAGGTAGACCCAAATGTAATTTTGCACCACTGTTGCCCTCAGTTTTCCTGCCCTTATTTGGTACATTCAAGCAGTCATCAGTCAAAGGTTTATAGAGCACTTCAGGAGTTCTGACACTGTGTCAGAGGTTGTAGGACTTGTTATGACCAGTTTTGGTCTTTTGTTCTGGCTATCTCATGTAGATTTGGCTGACAATCAAGTAGAAAGGTTAACAGGTTCTCACATGTGTTGCAAGTCATTTTCCACTGCTCTCTGACTGTTAGATTGGCCTACAGTCTCATCTAAAATTTGTTCACATAACACACTGTACCGAAATGATCACAGTTTCAGATGCTTTACTTTTCTACTGAGGGAGCATTAGCTCTGCGTTCAAAAAGCATCTAAAAAGCATCCAAGTTAGTAGATGAACAGAATTATATTGTGTTCTCCCAGTGACGTAATTTTGCTGTGATTTTTTTGTATCAATGGGCCCAAAAAATCTGCCTGTGGATGACGATAAAACCGTATTTTTCACTACCTTACAATCTTTTGAGCAATTCCATTGAAGAGTGGTTCCCAAACTGAGGTATGCCAAATGACGTTGAGGGTGAATTTAACGTTAACGTTAAAATTAATCTTCATTTCATTCTACTTTCCAACCACTCAATTGCACAGGTACCTACCCAGTACATTAGACACAAAGGCCATCGCACACTGAACGCGCTGTGCAGCGCAGTGTTGCGTAGCATCAAGTAGCTAAATGCTGCTTTAGAACACCAAGTTCAAGATCGTATTTAAACTCTGCTCATATAAATTGAGTGAAATAGTGTTCATCATCACTCATCCTGCTTGCCATCTGTTTATTATGTCTTGAAAGATGAGCAGAAAATGGCTAGGATAGTAAAGTTATTTGAGGTAACTTCAGCTTTAGCATCTGTATGTTTTTCCAAAAGACTGACTACCTTCCTTTGTGCAAATTTCAAGGCTTCCTGTAGTGTTAATAGGGCTTTAATTGAAAGTAGCCATGGCATAATGCTGAGTGGTGCGCTGTGCCATGCCAAGAACTTGAACAGTGTTGGAGTCATGGAGCACCAGCGTGCTGGTGTGCACACCTCTAATGAAAACAATGCCACACGGCACGCCCGGTGTGCGACGGGCTTAAGGCTAACCCAAAAAGTTCATCCATTATTTTATGTCGCGGTGACATTAAACGTTTGTGCATCCTATTGTCTGCGTTTATTTGTGGGATACTGGTATAACAGTTATGACAAAACTAACCTAAGACAGAGTTTCAGCCAGTACACCAGATGAGCTGGTATACCACCCAGTACTACGATTTCAGGCCGGTGTTTGTTATGAACTGTTAATTGTACAGCTGAAAACTCTCACGCATGCAAATGTGCCCTCATATTGATCACTGCCTGTGTGGCTGCTCTTAGATGACATATTCATCCATTGGGCAGTAGAGAGTGATCGTGACCAGTAATGTGAGAAATTTGGTGTTCCTTAGTTATTGTTTTGGTACATAATACAAATTTTAGAAAGTCTGAAGTTCCTTCCTCACTCCTGTGCTCTGAGCAGCACCCAGAATGAATCCAACCAATAACAAGGGTCTAACGTTATTTATTCAGTATTATTCAATATATGTTCCATTGTTGAAAGTGCCTTACTTATAATTTATAAGTCTGTGTTAATTAGTGATATTGGACGGTAGCTTGAGCGTAATGTTGAATCTTTATTTGGTTTAAGAAATACTGAAATTAGTGCCGTATTCATTTGGGACGGAATAGACGAAGTTCTTTTTATTTCATTGACCGTCTTTACAAACAGCGGGGAAATGGTTGGTCAGAAATGTTTATAGAATTCAGCAGGGAATCCATCCATACCTGGTGATTTATTGTTTGGCATTGATTGATCTGCTTTCCTAAATTCTTCTTCGGTTAATGGCGCTTCTAAGGAGTGTCTTTGGTCATTATTCAACCTAGGAAGGGTGATACCATCAAGAAAGGCATCAATATCAGATTGTTTTGTAACTGTATTTCTTGAGTATAAGGTTTCATAGTAATTTTTAAAAGTTTAATTTATTACTTTCGGGTTTTGAGTATTGTTCCCTGATGAGTCTTGTGGTCTCGTGGTCATTGTGTGTTTTTCTTTGTTTTGTTTTAGTTGGTTTGCTAAGAATTTTCCTGATTTGTCATTATGCTCAAAGTGGTTTTGTCTCAGTCGTGAGAGTAAAATTGCGTTTTTTGATCTATAAGAGAATCTAGCTGGGCTTTAGTTTTGTTAATGTTTTTAGGAATGGTCTCTGTGGGATTTTCTGCATATGAGCTCTGGAGTTGCTTTAAATGTTGTTCTAGGCTGCTTTGCTTTTTTCTGATCCTTCTTTTTCTTTTGTACTGAATATGATATGATTTTCCCTCTCATCACTGCTTTTGATGTTTCCCATAATAGTATGGGAGAAGTTTCTTGTAGATCATTGGTTTCCATAAATGAGCGAGTGGCCTTGTTGCAGTTTTTCTATGTCATTAAAACTAAAAGTAATAGGGGCATGATCAGAGATTACTATGGGATGGATTGTTGATTGTGATATATGTGGTATGATAGAGTTACTGGCAAGAAATAAATCAATGCGAGAGCATGAATGATGAACCTGGGAAAAATAAGTATATTCTTTAACTGATGGGTGTTGCAGTCTCCAAATGTCTCCTAGTCCAAAGTCCTCCATGTATTGTTGTAGTATTTTAGTAGTGTGCCAAATCTTTGCTTTGGAGTTTGATCTGTGTGAAAGTCTCCTCCCATTACCAAAGATGAATTTAAAAAGTCTAATAATATTGTAAATAAGTCATGATAAAATGCTGGGTCATCTGTGTTTGACCCATATATATTTGCAATAGTGATATCCTTGTTATTGATTGTGATTTGTATTATGATATAGCGTCCTTGTGTGTCAGATTTTTTTTTTTTTGTGGATCAACTGAACATTTTTGTGTACCAAGATAGCAACTCCTCTTTTTTTTGGAATTGAATGAGGATGAATATATACGGTTGAAATATTTCCCTAATAGTTTCTTATGCTCAGTTTCTAAAAGATGAGTTTCTTGTAGGAGAAAAACGTCTGCTTGTAACTTGTGAAGGTTGTTGATGATTCTTTTTATTGGTGCATGAATGCCTCGTACGTTCCAGCTCAGAAACTTAACGTTTGCGCTAGACATTGTAATGAGAGATGCACAATACAATCTTTATAATCAATGAACGTTACCGAATATCTTTTTTTACAGATGATTATTAATGTGCTGATGAAAGGGGTGATCCTGATAACCAATTCTAGTATGTACATGTAAAGTGAATGATGGTTGACTGGATATTAAATGTATTATATTGACTTGAAATAAAGCACCAGCAGATCCCAAATAGCATTATATTAGGCCATAGACATAATTCTCATAATAGACATAAAAGAGGACCTCATATTTATAAAAATTGCCAGATGAGTAGTATGTTCATTTCAAATATAGCAACTTTGTAAAAGTGAGATAAAAAATAATTACAGGTAGAACAGTTATAAAGACAAACACATAAACACAAGCACACAGAAACAAACAGAAGAGCATCAGTGATATGTATAAGAAAAGATTGACTACTGGATGATTAGTGATTCAGTTTGTGGTTTCTGAGCACCATTTTTTTTTCTTTTAGAACAGCCATGGTGTAACTTCTGAGTCTCTATATAGTTTCCCATTGAGATACAGTCTGTCTACTACGGAGCCCCAGAGGGAACGGAGGTAAAAAAAAAAATAATAATTTGAGCGAACGTTTTGTAGTTCGTACGTTTTCTCTTATTCGTGGTCACGATTTCTTAAATCGTTCCCTCGTTTTCTTTTAATCATGTGCACATTTTCTTTACTTAGATTAGATTAGATTAGATAATCCTTTATTAATCCCACAACAGGGAAATTTGCGGTGTTACAGCAGCACAGAAGACAGAGCAGCAGGAAATATACAAACAATATATAAAATAGAATAAAACAATAAAAGTATAAAGATATATATGTATATGTACAAAGATTACAAGAAAAATATACAAAGTATTAAATTTAAATTTAGAAATGTAGAAATACCCTCGTTTTCTTTTAACCTGAACGCACGTTGTTTGTATTTTGATAACAGCTCCCTGAGACCGTCTGACGGGTTTTGATGAGTTAGATTGATGAGATGATGAACAGAGATGCTCATCAGGTCTGATTCTGATTTGGGGGGTCATAAGGAATCTGCAGCTCCTCTTCACAGCGAACAGCCCACGGTGTTTCTGCTCCCGGTCAAGCTGCAGTGTTAGGGACCATCCTACAATTACAGGACGAAATGATCAGCGTTTCAACATCCTCACATTAATATATCTACATCTAATCCATAGATCTATTAAACTCTTTCGCCATTTGACCTCATCCCACATGAGTGTGTCTGTGTGTGTTTAATTTGAGTTTGTTGAAACATTGATGCTGACCATTTCTTCCTGTAATTGTGTGATGATCTCTAACACCGCAGCTTGTCGCGGGAGCAGAAACAGTGCTAAGCGGCCGCACCGTGTCTCTATCTCTGTTACATATGATCATTAGACAGTGCAGTTTAGTGAAGATTGTGGTTGTAGTTTATTGTCTTCCTTCATTTCACCACCAAACTGCAGCTGCACTGATGAATCTGAGGCCCGTTTGTTGTGAAGAGGAGCTGCAGTTTCCTCATAACCACCCAAATCAAAATCAGACCTGATGAGCATCTCTGTTCATTATCTCACCAATCTAACACGTCAAAACCCGTCAGACGGTCTCAGGGAGCTGTTATTTACTTCTGCACCAGACAAAAAACACGACCTGTATCTACTACACTGATTTTGCGCACGAATCAAAAAAATAAACAACGTGCGTTCAGTTAAAAATAAAGCATGACAACGATTAAAAGAAAACGAGAGAACGAATTAGAAAATCGTGATCACGAATAAACAAAAACGAACCCACGAAGTAAAGAAAACGTGCGCATGTTTAAAATAAAACGAGGGAACGATTTAAGAAATCGTGACCACGAATAAAGGAAAATGTGCGTACGAACTGCAAAACGTTCGCTCGAATTATTACTTTTTTTTTTTTTACCTCCGTCCCCTCCGGGGCTCCGTAGTCTACTGAGACTATCGCACGTATTCCTTTTTTTTATATATATATTCTTTTCTAATCTGGAACAGGACTTTCCTTCTTTCTTGAATCTCCTTTGGAAGTTGGTCACTAAGGCCAAATTTAGTGTCTTTAGGCTCGACAGGTCGTGGATATGCGTTAAGTTTACGACCAATGCGGTGAAAGGAGATCTCGTTGACTGTATTCTCTGGTATCTTTAAGTGCTCACACAGTAAGTTTTTTCTGGATCTTCTTCTGTTTTGTCGGGTATTCCTGTGAATATTAAGTTATCGCGCATATTAACGGCATTGAGCGTCGAGCAGTGTTTCTCTCAGTGTTTTGTTTTCTTTATTTATTTTGTCCAGCTCCGTCATCGGTGAACCTTATATTGTTTGTCCTGTTGAAGGTCCTCAATCTGTTCAAAGCTGAATTCTAAACTTGTTTTTAGGTCTCGTATGTCTTTATGAAGGACGTGAATCACAGACAGTTGGGTTTCCAGGCGTAGTGGTTTGGTACTGATTGACTGCAGCACACCAACCTCAACTTCACTGTCTGTGTCCAGGTCCTCTGTGTCTGTGGAGGAGTCGCTTGTTTTCCGGTTTTTCCGCCACCCTTGTCAAATTGTAAAAGCAATCGTCAATGAATGAGTCCAGTTCCTCCAGTTTTCTCTTGAAATGTTTCCCCGTGTTCTTCTGAAATAGATCTGCTGCAGGAGAGCGCCTGTTTGCTGTTTTGTGTTTGTTGTTAGCTCTAGCAGCAGTGGGCTACCATGTTGGATCACACGCGTAGTCTCGCGAGATTGTCAGTGTGCGCGAATGTCCGTCTCTCTCCAACTATCACTTGCTGCAGAACCAAAAGTCCAGGGGGTGCGGCTGGATCTGATCCAACTCCTCCTGCGTCGTGTTTTAATTGGTCTGAACTAAATCAGACTCCACCCCGCCCCGCAATACTTGCTATACTTACTTCAAGTGCGAATATGAAAGTAAGTACAGAACACACATTTTCTCTCTCTTATGAAATTCCAGGATTTAGTTGATAAAACACAGTTATGTGGGTTGTTTTGACCGGTCATAAGTCCATTCTAGTGTGTAAAAACGTTCAGCGTTTTCAACTAGAACTCGTCTATCATAAGTACATTTGAGATGTAGGCCTACAGAACAGACTTTGTACCGGAATGTGAAAAAAGCTTTTCGAGTTTTGACAAATGAGTGTGAACGTCGTGAATCGTGAGCGATTATAAAGGCTGTGTTGTGGTGTTCAGGACGGAGCAACATCAAGAAAATAAACAAAGACACCAGCAACACCTGCGGGTTACCCACAGGTAAAAACGCGACAGGGTAGACCAATGAAATTAGTCGTAGGCGGAAAACGTAAGCGACACAGACTGGTTTACAGACCAGTAGAAATGTGATGACTTCTGGTTCCGCAGCGAGGACCACCTCGTCTCTCTGAACGCGTATGATTTTTCAAGACGACTTATTTTACCAGGCAAAATGTCTTACACAGGCACTATGACGTGTATGTACTGTGCTCAGAAATAGTCTTGGTACACTCTCTGAACAGAATATATGTCTGGTTTATTTTTTACCATCCAAGCTACAGTTATTCATTCATATCCATTAGAAATATTAAAGTTATTTACAGTCATAAAGTTAAATTATAACTAGCAGCTATAATAACCAGGGCCCAGTTTCCCAAACTCATCTTCACTGCTAAACAGAGTGTTCAGTGTGACGCTCGCTCTGCCATCATCTCAACATCTGAACCCAAATGATCAAGGCAATTAAAAAGTACTCAGACATTACTGGGACAAACATTAACGTCTCTCTTCATTATGTATGCCAGTATTATTTTAGATTTGTATTCTGTTGTACGTCTCATCTTTGAATGACAGATTGAAGTCTTGTAGGCATGGACATTTCGCAACACTGATGCTCAGTCAGGCTTGCTGGACGTTCTCTTTTCATGTCCACAGTGTGGTGGGTTTTGAACTCTGTCTTTTTCCACCACTTCAGTACATTTTTCACATTTGATTTTGGAATTTTCTATATATCTGCCGTCCAGCTCACAGACGTTTTATTACCAAGACACAAATGTTTACAGATTAATTCAGCTCTGTGTTCAGGTTTTTTAATGCAATAACTTTTAGAATTTTGGTGAATTTTTGATTTAGGTTTGAGGAAGTAGCATTTGGAGAACTCTAGTTTGAACATGACATCTGTAGCATTTGGATTAGTGTCCCAACATTTTCCTGAAGTAAAATGGAAAGTTAAGTAAAAGTGTTCTACTTGGCTCTTGTTCAGTTGGAGTGTTGATTGATGAGTTGTAATGTAGCTGAAATTATATACTTGTATATGATAGTTTAATTTGTATAATACATTAACAATTTCATTCTCTCATAAAAAAAAGAGGGCTAACGGACTGTAAAATGTTTGGGAACCATTGTTCTATGGCATTACCCAAGAACCTATTGTGAAACCTTTGTAAAAGAGTAAGATAGTGCAAAAATATTGTACTGTCATTAACATGCAGATTTACTGGGCCCATTGATACAAAAGATAAAAAACAAATATGAATGTACCAGGTATAACTAAATTACGGCACTCGCAGAACATATGAATACAATATGAATCTGTTAACCTGGATGCTTTTTGAATTTAGTGCTAATTCTCCCTCAGTAGAAAAGACAGTCGTGTTTGCTGTTGCATCACAATTTTAGAATGATTTGAAGAAAAGAAAGCAGATAATAAATATGAAAGTAATGAAAGAAAAAGTCTACAATATCTAAGACAGTTGTGTAATAGTCAGTTTTCAAATCTGAATACAAGTCAAGAGCAAAATGAAACCAGGATGAATGGAGGTACAACCGTTAATGTAATAGACTTTTTATTACTATCTACTGAAGGTGACTGTGGAGTATATAACAACAGTAAAACTGTACAACTGCAGTGGATGATTTTTTTGTGTTAATCCTAATATTGATTCTAAACATTTTACATGAAAGACGTTGTGACACTAAGGTCAAAGTTCATCATATGAAATAAAACTGTAGTAACATTTTTTAGGATCAACATATGATTTATTTTCAAAGGAATAAAATGCAGTTTTGTCCTGCGGTTCTCCAGGATTGTGCTTGTGGAGTGTAGAACATTACTGGTAGTACACTGTTCACTCGTTTTTCACTTTTCTTTTACCACACGCTCGACGACAGACACATCTAATGAATACTACTGTGGTGAATGTCAGCACTGCTGCTATACTAAGCAGAAACAGAATCACGTCCACTGAATGGTAGGAGTACCAAGGCATCCTATAGGCCTTTGTGCGCAGGTGAGGGGCTCCTTTATGCCTCATAACATACTCAATCCAGAAGACAGCTGAGTCTAGAGGTTTCATAGGCTGGTCTCTGTGTAGACTGGAGAGTCGCTGCATGTTGGTCCTATAAGAGTCATCATTGAGAACTTCCAGTAGCATCTGTTCAAAAGTTTGGCCATTCAGTTGAGACAACTCGAGAATTTTTGCCGCTCCTCTTGTTTGAATCCGGACAAGGTTATCGAACTGATCAAAGAATAAAGGGATGCCGAGCACAGGCACTCCGTGGTAGATGGCCTCCTGGACTCCATTGGTTCCTCCATGGGCTACAAATGCCTTGATCTTGGAGTGTCCCAGGAGGTCGTTCTGTGGCATCCAGTTCACCAGCAGAGTGTTGTTTCCCAGAGTGGAAGGTTTTGGTCCCAGATGCCTCCAGATGACTTTTTGAGGTAGTTTTGCGAACACAGCAGCAATTTCATCTGCTATGTCAGCTGGAAGACTTTCTACCAAAGTGCCCAAGGACATGATGATGAAGCCATGTTCTCCTGAACTCTGCACAAAAGCCTCCAAGTCTTCAGGGAGGGGCTTTGAAGGCTTGCACTGGAATCCACCCATATAAACAACATTCGGCATGGTGGGTCTGGGGAATTCAAACACAAAATCGAGCCTCATGAGCCAAATATCAGCCTCCTGGAGGAAGCTGACAATGTCACAGTCCTCGTCAAAGTATTTATCACATAGAGCTTTGTAATGTGGCCCCACCACAAATTTATCTTGGAAAAGAACAATTGCATAGAAAAGGCTGTTCTTAACTCTTTGAAAGAAAGTCATTTGGTCTGAGAGGCCAGTACCTGCTACAGGTATGTAGGACAGTGGCGAAGGTGCAATGACAAAATGACCCTCACCACTGGTGATCCAGCGTGCATTTAAAACAAGGGGTAATTTCAAATAACGGGCTAAAACAACGCCAGCTGTCATGGTTGGATCAGTAAGAAGAAGATCATATTGTTCGTCTTGAAGCCTCTTAATCAGCTCTTTATCCTCAATGATCTTACTCATTGTATTACATGAGAGAAAGTGTGCATGGGAGATCATGTAGAAAAAGTCCACCTGAACTTTCAAGAAGGTCAGGATCGACGCCTCACCTCTCTGGATTTTCATCATGTTACTTAAATACTCCAGAAAAAATTCACCCACACTGTCAATGCCATCATTCACTGCGATAGACGTGAACAGTGAGGGGTCTTCTTTTAGGTAAAAGCTGGAGCTGGGTCGGATCACAGTGATGTTATGACCCCTGGAGTGCAGCGCCTCGATCAGCACCTTCATGTTGATCCAATGACTGCCGTCCACTGGATAAACCAGAATTTTGCCGCTCTCACAGCTCAGGATGAAGACAGACAAAGAGAGAAATAGTCCAACAATGGAGGATTGTCTCTTATGCAAAACAGAGTTCATTGTACCTTTAAAAGAAACACACAGATTAGTAATAAGTATTTATTAATTTGACCGCTCATATGAGACATAAGGCAGATTATTTCTTACACAATGTTATGATGAACATATGATAGAACTCTGTGATACTTCAGGTTGTGTCCTATTTCACTCGCAAGACTATCACAGATTATTCTAGCACATATCAACAAGCCTAAACTTGGCCATTCATTTTCCAAGTATGAGATTTTAGAATGAACTACAATATAAATATGTTATTATAATTACCTTAGGTGGTATGAAGTGCATGAAAGAAGAAGAAACTGAAGTGCGCAAGCCGACTGTACCAGCCGACTGAGTTCAAAGTCCAAAATGTGCCATACTGTTCTGACTGCTATCAGAGATGAAATTAATAATTAACTAAAGCAAATACAAAGCATGGGACATTAATTTTATGATTTGAAATGGTATTTATTTATCCACCCATTCATTTAAATGATCAACATCCGTAATGGATCAGGATTAGGAGTTTTATAAGCATAAACCTCTCATGAAAGTGCAGAGTACCTTTATATTCTCTCTAATTGAATATACACCAAATCAGGCATAACAGTATGACCACCTCCTTGTTTCTACGCTCGTTGTCCATTTTATCAGCTCCACTTACTATATAGGTGCACTTTGTAGTTCTACAGTTACAGACTGTAGTCCATCTGTTTCTCTGCATACTTTGTTAGCCCCCTTTTACCCTGTTCTTCAGTGGTCAGGACCCCCATGGACCCTCACAGAGCAGGTACTATTTGGGTGGTGGATCATTCTCAGCACTGCAGTAACACTGACGTGGTGGTGGTGTGTTAGTGTGTGTTGTTCTGGTACGAGTGGATCAGACACAGCAGTGCTGCTGGAGTTTTTAAACACTGTGTCCACTCACTGTCCACTCTGTTAGACACTCCTACCTTGTCAGTCCACCTTGTAGATGTAAAGTCAGAGACGATAGCTCATCTGCTGCTGCACAATTTGTGTTGGTCATCCTCTAGTCCTTCATCAGTGGTCATAGGAAACTGC